ATAAATAATAATTATATTTAATTGACTAGTTTATTATATTATAAAAAATAATTATATTATATAATTGTATAATAATATTTAAAAAATTTTTTAAAGTAAATAGAATAAAATTTTTAGTTTCGTAAAATCTACAGTTTCTTTTATTCGTTTCCATTATATGAATACATCTATTTTACTGCATATAAAGAAAGAAAACTGTAAATACGTAACTTTATACTAGATTTGCATCTCGGTTTATATACGATTCAAACTGGTCTAAAGGTGCATTTAACTGCAACTATTGATTTCAATCAATATATGACAGAAAATCCATTATACAATGAAGAGTTAAATCGATAGATATGGAAATTCAGAGATCAGCTAATTCCCTACGAACGCTCAAGGCAACAGGTACGTGGAATCATATGGTCAGATGAATCTACAAATCTTCAAATATCACAAATCTCTCGTTTGTCTTCAATTTCAAGAGCTTTTATGAAGAAAATTCTTAAATTTGAAGCGTGTAATTTAAAGCGTTAAATCACTAATTTATGAATTTATTAAATAAATTGAATCGTCGAGATTTCTAAATGTACAAGTAGTAAGTTTTGTGTAGAATTGCATATTATATATCCCCTATGAAAATCATTTAAGCCCTTTCTAAAGAAATCATCTCATCTTATTCTGAAAGTTTCCCTTGAAAGTTAAACCGTTCACAGAGAATACTGTTTCATGTAGAAGTTTTTGCTAACTAGAATTATCACGAATTATTTTGTACTATCGTTGAGCAAACTGTTGTTCTAAAACAACAATAAGATCTCAAATAACTTTCTGAGAAACCGTTCAAGAAAGCTTTCGCGTAAATGGAAGCGACAGCTCTGGCGAGAGCGTAACAGGTCGAAGAGAAGCGCTTGCCAAATTGCGTTACCTCTTGGTCTCAGGTTTACGCACTAACGAAACAATTTGCTTATTTTCTTAAGGATCTTTTTCCATCTTCTTTTGGATTCTTGATTGTAATTCGCGCGTTGTTTCCGATACTCACGATGCCTTCGCTCTTATGCTTAATGCTTATTTTTTCATATTCATAATTGTATGTGTATCCATATATTTTCATTTTTTTACTCAATTATTTGCACATAATATATAACTTACTTATTAATATATCACTTATTTGCATAATATAATATATAGCTTATATGTATGTAATAAGCTTTTTTATTAAATATAAATTTTGACATATTAAATTAAATAGTGATTTCAAAAACACAATTAGTTTTCAATTTTTCAATGATTTTTAGAAATTAGAAAAAATCGTTTAAGTTACTTTAAAATAAGTCAATTTAAATTATTTGCAGTTTTATCACAATAAATGTCTAAAACAATAAGAAATAATTTTAATACTTTCTTTGTTGCGGAACTATCCTATTATCTCAAACTTGATATTAAAACTAGCAAGAAACGTTTACGAATGTAACAGGTAGTCGAATTCGATTTATGATGAACCAGCTTGAACCAGGAAACGTAACAGTTTTGATTAGACAAAGACAAATGAGTCTATGGAAAAATAGGAAGAATAGGAAATGGATTCAATCATTCGGAAAGTTGCTTGAACAGAAATAGTGCCTCCGTTCCACTTATATTTGCCGTCCCACTTATATTCTGTCACTAAGAGATACTTAGTTTCTGTTAAAATAGAATCTATTCTACTAAGTTTGAAACTCAATTAAAAGTGTTAAAAAGTTTAATGTCAATCAAACAAACAACTGCAATTGGTTCACATATATATATTTATGCTTATAATATTCGTAAAGTACCACAATGTTAAAAAAATATTAGCATTAATTAAGGTTTAATCACAAAGAGTAATTATAAAATTATATATATAGATCAAATTTTACATGCTGACGTAGTTTGAAACTTCGCTTTTAGTTATGTAAACGGAAGAATCGCAAACTGAATGCATCAGATTACAGTTTGCACTGCTATCAAACTATTTGTATCAAATGAAACAATGATAAACGACGTTATATGAATTTCAACAGACTGTTTATCCCTGTGGATCAGGACGATCACGTAGCTGATGTATTCGCTGATCTAAATTGCCACTTTTGCCTGGAAGTCACGTTCCGCTCTTAAACAGTAACTTTTCGAGAATGGTTAACAAGCAAACGATTTGATCTAAGTGAGAAACGAGAGATTTTATGTCATTTTAGCATAAATTCAGTAACTTTGTTACTGCATTATACCTCACTTCCATTCCAAAGGCGATCAGTAAAAGCAAACAGAGAGAGAGAGAGAGAGAGAGAGAGAGAGAGAGAGAAGGAAGGGAGAGA